GAAAATGTCCCTGTGCCGAGTGCCGGAAGAGAAGAGAATCGAGTGATGATGCATTCCAGGACATATCATCAAGTACCACTCGCATTCAGCAATAAATATAGAGCACCGACACTTTTCGTAACAGTGACTCCTCCTAGCATAATTTATCGTTCGTCCGAAAATAGCACAGCCTCGCCCACCGGACTTCACCGTTAATGATGACGGATAAAAACCCGACTGTGGTGAGAGGAAATTTAAAACTTCCGATAAAAGTCTGTTCAGGAAAAAAATACGAAAAATTAACCACTTTTATTCCAAGGAATGAGAAAATAACAAAATAATTTAGCTCATCCTTCAAACGAGACCACATGCAGGCACAACAACCGAGGCCTCACCAGCACTCCACATATCATGCGAATCGCTCGTGTTCCTGTCACAATTATCGCATCTGTGCGGTACGCTACGCACACACTGCTCAGCAAAAAGTAATGACAGATAAATGCTGCAAGCAGGTCTCAGTATAGTAGGACGGGGGGAAAACACAACAAAAAAACAAAGCCAGACGACAGATTTGCCACGCGTCAACGCAGACGTCGGGGAATGAGATTTAATGGTGACGAACACGGAATTACACTCACGGGGTTTGATGGGTTGGATGTAGAAAAACAAAACCAAAAAATAAAGAAAAGAAGCAGTAAAATCCACGGTAAGGAGACTGCCAGCTTTCTCGTTGCCCCTGATGAGCTACCAACAGTTGCTTAGGGAGTACTCATGAAGTACTTGACTTGAAACTTGAAAGATTTATTTTGAAGCAAAAAAAAAAGTTTGTTTTTTCCGTTTTGGCCGCAGAATATGTCATATCTCTCTCCGCTTTGATTCAAGTCAGTCAATTTGCTATAAAAAACTGCCCAACTTAGAAAATCAAACTGAAAACTAGTGTAACAAAAAGTGATTGATTAGGATTTTTTCAGACCAAAGGAAGAATCAAAATCAAAATTTGAGGGTGACAAATTGAGCTGAGATATGGGCGTAATAAACCGAAATGGAGAAACAATCCGTTTTTTTCCTCTCAACCAGCCACCTCTTATAAATTACACACTTGAATTAATTCATTAAAAATTGTGAAACAATGTACAGTACGACGTGGTTGAAGCCACGGTTTAATCTTTAAAAAATATAAATGTTGATTGGTACACAATCAGTAAAAGCTAATCGATTAGGGGTAGTCAAATAATTGAACGAGCTTTGATTTGACATTTTCGGAGTTGATTGCTCACCATTTTAAGGAAAATCGCCTCTGTTGTTCCATCCTGCACATCAGGTAATAGTTTTCTACCCCAATACACGCATTCCAGCTAAACTAGAAAATATATATACTGTACTCTACTTGAAATTGACAGGAAGCAAACGAGGAACACTTCGTCTACGCGATCCCCGTAAATCTCCATCATCGTTTCGCATTATCTGGCAGCCTTTAGGACAGAAACCATAAATCTTGAACGTCCCACGAGATGTCTCAACAGGCAAAAGGATGACGCACGAGAACCTATTCGCTCGTCATCATCAATGAAAAGCAGAATTAACTTTCTTTGTCTAACGATGCTAAAAAAAAATAGGGTAATTAATCCTTTGAAATGTGTAGACTGCATCGACAAAAGGATGACGCACGAGAACCTATTCGCTCGTCATCATCAATGAAAAGCAGAATTAACTTTCTTTGTCTAACGATGCTAAAAAAAAAAAGGGTAATTAATCCTTTGAAATGTGTAGACTGCATCGACGGATGCTACTTTTCCGCGCAGCAATTCGAGCCAGCAAGCTTGAAAGTTACTCCCGTCGAAAGCTCAAGAACCATGATCATTCAGATCCAGTTTCAGAACTTTTCAGCTAAAAATTTGCTACAAAAAATATAAATCAAACGATGGACTCATTCAGTTTCCTCGGCGTCAAATTTCATTTCATGTTAATTCATTCGAAACCTGAACCGTGGGTTCGTCGGTGAAGTACAGTACAGTACTGTACAGATATGTACCTCTTGGGGGAAGTTTCCGACTGTTCACGCGGAACGGTGAAAAACCTGGAAGAGGTTTTGCACGAGTCTCCAGTCGGCAGAAAAGTGTTTCAAGCGGGGCACGTTCTGAAGAATTCCAGGGAACATTTTTTCGGTGAAGTTCAAAAACGTTCAGATAAATTAGCAGACTGAAGTTTGCGGCAGGGAAGCCTTTGTTCTGCTGACGACGGCAAAGCGGAATAATTCAACACACTCGTCAAACTCGAGGTGAAAATTTTCGTCGGAAGTAATTTACATTCCCTTCAACCACAGAGCCTCGTGTACACTGCGCACGATGAGACGTCAAGAAATAAATAGAACCCGAAAGCGCTTTCAATCAAGAATTCAAGGAGAGCAGTTACTCTAGAATTTAAATTTCCGTCCGAAAAGAAAAAGAAAAATTTCCTCGAATACTCTTCTTCAAGCGACAGAAAACAAGGCAAATCAAGAATAGGGACCACCCACGAACCGAGAGATTCCGGTTGAAAAATTGAACGCAGACATGCTTCGTATGCATCGAAAACCGGAACATCTGGGACACACCCGCATGAAGAAGCATGTTCTTGACTTTACTCCACCGAAATAAAATGCCATGAAATAATTAAACCTGTATCAAGCATCAGTGAGCTTTCCTTCAAAAGGGCACCGAAATTCAAATCATGTATTTTACGCTTCTTCACAGCGGCTGCCAGTTCCATCACATGAACAAACTGAACACTCTCGAACGAACGAGCCAAATGTCAAGAAATTCACTCATGAACGGGATTTTAAAAATCCTTAACTCAGATGCATCAGCGCTCTCGTCTTTCAAAAATGTTTCACGCGAAAAAATTTAGAGATGAAAGCAGGTCATGCGATAGGTAGTTATTTCACTCAATTCAGCACGAAGTCCAAAGAACTTTTTTAATTTTACGTACGTGCTCGTGAAATCACGCGAATATATATCGACAATATCGCTTAGCATCGAAAAAAGTTATTCATTTTATCAAAATTCGCCACTCAAAAAGTACTTCGCTTTTTCAGGAAAGTCATGGGCATAATGGCAAACATTTTAAAAATCTGCTTTCTAGAGAGAATTTTTTAAATATATGTGGTGTCTTTAAAAGAAAGACACGACGATACTGCATTAAAGTCCTAGAACTTTTTCTATACACCGCCCTACACAAAAAAAAAAGTCCCAACAGCTTCCCAGAAATGTGACGCTGAAAGAAGATTCAATAGTGCTTTTCCGTTTGATATGAGCACAGTGATAAAAAAAAGTCAAATCGTATTCGAACATCACTCAATCATCACCAATTGGATAATTTTGCCACTGATGCGCCAGGAAATTTTCAAGAATCAATCCTCGCCAGCTCCAAAACGCCTCGGAATTATTAGCAATCCCGCATCATGAATAATCTTCTTAATGCATTAGACTTGGCCTCATCACGACGCTCATCCAATTTTCGACAAGAAGTTACAGGAATTGAAGGCTGTTTAATCTCGGAGAAAATCACGGTGCACTTCATTTTTCATCAGAGAACTCAAATAAGAAAAAAATTAAAAAATGAACCCGCCGATTGCTTCGATTGTTCATTGCTTCGAGCACTGGGGGCGGTTCAGTGACCCAAAGTTCACCCAAGGTAGAAAAAAAAAATTCTGAGGAAAGAATTCGAGAGAATTTATCATGTTCCGTTTTCCCGAGAAAGCTTCCGTACTTCCGCCGGAAAATGTGGGACTAAGAAAAGCGGGAAGGAGGGGTTGGAAAATATACGGAGAGGAAACTATTTTCATTTTCTCCCTCTCTTTTTTTTTTTTTAAGGCAGCTTCTGACGAGAGGATCAAGCAAAAACGGATCATTGCCGGCCACCGAGGCAAACACCCGTCGACGCAGCCCTGAAGGCGACCTAGACCGTGGCCTCTCTGACAGCTGGGTTCACGCGAAGGGCGGCCCGTACGGGACCCGCGCATATTCCGCTGCTGAAGCAGGATAACGACCACGGATACAAGGTGGTGAGCGTGGCACACGCGCCACAATCCCACCGCCACCACCGTATCCTCTCGCAGCACCGAATTTCGAGTTCAAGAATGGGGGCTTCAAGAGTCAACGTCGAGTTGAATAATTTGCACTCGAATTGCCTGTCTCATCAACGATTAAACCATCCTTCTCCGTATCACAAGCAGAGAAAAATCACGAGGACCCAAATCTGAGAAATAGGAAAGCGATTTGATTTCATTTTCTCCAGATCAGGAAACAATGTGATTTCACACCCTCTGCGGGGAAAAGAAAAAAAAGAGTGCATGGCAATTATAATTCGAATGTAAGGAATTAAAACACTTTAATAAGTTTAAAAAGAAAATTCCTACGGTTAATATTGGTATTTTTAATGGCTGTCGAAAATCGAGGAAGCACCATAAAAATACGAATCAAAAGATTTCCTCCTGGATTAATTTCTAATTTTAAAATACATTTATAAATCTTGCACTAGTACTAAAATGTATAAAACGACTTCATCTATATTTCCTTGAAAGAAACAACATCCTTTTTTCGAAAAAAATGAGAGATCTAAATTGGGAGAGCAGCAAAAAAGAAAATAGTATTGAAATATTTTTTTAGAGATGCTGGGTAAAGATGGAAAACCCCCATTGAAAAATAAATTTTGCAAATGAATTTATTTCAGATACAGCATTTTTCGAAGAGTCTTCTTTTTTAAATAAAATTTACACTGAACATGTGAACAACTTGATCTATTGAAAGTAAAATATATTTATTCCTTGTTTTCAAAAAGTGGAGGACAAAAAATGGTCAAATTATGTTTTTGAGCAGACTGAAACTTCGTCCTACTTTCAAAAAAATAATCTTCTTCTATGATTTTCTTCAAATCTAAAAAATAAGGTTGAGTCAACATGCCTTTCGTTTGAAAGCAAACATACTGTACAGAACATCCATTTTTGAGGCATCCTGAATAAAAGTGTGTCTCGTAGTCAGCAGATGGCGTTTTACGTGAACAGGAGTAAGGTACATTTCCTGACCCAGGAACCCCACGACATTCCTCCCAGGTATTCTAATGAGGGGTTTCTCAATCCAACTTGTTGCTCGCAACAGGGGATCAATAATGGGGAAGAGAGTCGGTCTCCTTGGTTCAAAAACGGCTTGTTTGATCAATGAAAGAGCTTGGCTTCTAGAACTCAAGCTTCCCCACCAACATTCTGCACTTGGGTGTCTTCTCGCGGCCCGTGCTCTGAACGGAACAAAATCTTCGGCAGTTGCTAGTGAAACAAGCGCAATTCTGGTGGAAAAAAAATATTCCGTAAACTTAGAATATTTGTGTCACGTAGTAATAATCCAAGACGCGTCTTGAACTGATTTTCAAGCTGCAAAACAAATCCCAAAAATTAAGCAGAGAGGAAAGTTGTATTTTTTGTCATCATATGACAGACATCTTAGTTCACACTCAGTCAATGTAATGAGAATGTGGTTGAACTAACAATAGAGAGAAGTAAAAAAATTTGCCATATATTTTTGTTTCCAGTTTTCCCCTTTTCTTTTGAAATTTAAAAAAAAAAAAAACCTGAACAAGACCCCATGGTCGATTTGGCAGTTCGCGTGAATAAATATTTTCTTCTACCTTATTTCAACAATTTAGAACTCAAGCTGAGGTGGAAACTGAATTGGACTTCAAAAATATAATAAAGTACAATGTCAATTCATACTTGATATGCTCATGGATGCGACAGCTTTTTTCATGTTTCTTCTTTAACGGCAAGAAAACTTCGCCTCGTCACATACGTGTACAAATACATCCGTTGTATTTTATACACGAAAGAAGAAGCATGTACAGTACAATCCTTGAACTAAATTGATCATTTACTGAAAATCAAAAACTAATGAGAATTCCACGTCTGGGTTGACCACAAAACTTGAGTAAAATAGGTTTTCAAATATTCCTTCACAGTCAGAATTTTTTTGTAATCCATATTAATTTTTAGCTGCACCTTGCTTTTCAGTTCAATTTTCGGAGAGAGTTATNTACTCAGTTTCCAGTAAAGCTTAGCTTTATAAAGCTCAGTTTTTCTCAATACATGTCCAGCGATGAAGTAGTTAACGTTCAGTTGTCCCATCAACCTTTTTTCTTTTCACCTTTTTGTTGCACCATGCAATGCGTCCATTAGCGACCAATATAGAGAGTTGTGCAAGCACGAACCCAGTCAGCCAAATATACACACACGACTCAATTAACCCTTCAACCAACAATTGATCCCCCTTGGAAATAGGTCATTCGGCTTGTAGATCACTCATTGTTGAACATCTCTATAAATCGGATTTTAAGGGACCAACAACAAAATTGAAATATGGTGATTTTGGCTTATACGGAGGCTTTGAGTTAGGGTAACAAGCATTTTTGTTATGGGGAACAGAAGATTAGCAGGCAATTGTAAATTATGATATTCTGGGCCTTAAAGGGCTTCTCAAATTAGTTGACAAATTTCTGAACTAGGAGGCAAGGATTCATTTGCTCAATTAGTCTTTCACTTCCTTTCAAAACACATAGGTTTAATCATTTATTGCTTTTTACTTTCCTGTGTCAAGAAAATGATCAGCAAAAGGCCTGAGAAAATTCAAGTTATTGAGGAAAAGCCTTTGACTTACAGAGGTTTTCAATGCATTATTGTTTATATGGAATTCAGAGAGGAACGTGAAAAAAATTTCGCCGAGTGGAGTTTCAGCTGTATTTGAGACTTGTTCACAGTCTGAGAACGTTTTACGGCCTGATTGTACAGATAAGATTACGGTTTCCCCACAGCAGTGCCCATTTGCCAAATACTGTACTGTACTATAATGGGACTGGCCTCCTCGAGCCCAGAGTTCATGACCATGATTGAAAGTTAGGCAATTTTCCGGATTCCCCCCCAGAAGAATCGTCTCGACTGAACCCTCTTTCCCCCACCGCTGCTGACGTAAAGAATTAAGTCCTCATAACGGGTCTCGAGGTCGGTGGAGAAAAAGAGGTGCTCTTCAGCACCCCACCAATGTTCAGGACGCGTCTGCGAAATATTAACTTTTCCCAGCGCATTGGCAGAGTTCCTAACTTCCTTCTTTTACCCCCCACAATAATGTGTCTTCCGCTTGCTTGAATATCCCAAAGGTCGGCTACTGGAGCTGAAGCAGGAACTCATGAGACTCGAATGCAACGAGGTCATAAACCTGGCGGACATGCTTTCCGCAATGAAACTGCAGCCAAATGCCGTGGAATTGCGGATACCACCGTGAGCATAATCCTAAGATATACCGCATTTTTTTTCAACAACAAAAACAAAAACTAGCAAGCATTGCCAATCAATCAGTCAACAGCGCGGATTTGGTGAGTTCAAGTCGATAAACACAGCCCAAAAAGAGAGAAACCTGTTAAATTTGCTCGCTTCAGTGGAATAACGTTGATCACCTGTTTGCGGCTTGTCGTATATAATAATTAATTTATTTGTAAAATCTCGTCATAACGAATAATCGCTTACAACTAACTTTTTTCTAGGTCTCTGTCCAATAGCCACAATGCTATTTGAGTTTCTTTACAACAAATTTTCCGTCATAACAAAGCTATTTTCCTAGTCCTAATGGCTTCGTTATAACGAGATTAGACTTTTCTGGACTTATAAAAAGGCATGTTGTGAGGCGAATATTCATCCAGTCTAAAGAAAGCTACTCTCGAAGTTATCTGTGAAAGTATTAATCTCGAATTTTCCGTTATGTTTGCAATTGCAGATTTTTTGTTCGACACAGAAAAGTTATGTTGGACGAGCGCCGGCAGCAATTTACTGAAATTTACAAAAAGCTCGGCTACATTGAGGAGGAGGCAAGTGATTTTAATCCTTCCGAAAAGTCGATTTCATTCCCGATACGCTCACAATCTTCTGAATGAAATTGCCTGGAATGAAACGTATCGTATAAGTACAACCAAACCATCCACATTGGTTAAGATACGCTAAATGACCCGTTACATTGAAAATACCTAATAAGACAAATTTTTTTTAAATAAATCTTCTTAAGCAGTCGAGTCTTTTAATCGATGTCGTATCCGATTCTCAGATGAAAGTAAGTGACAAGCGCTTCTCACGCTCATAATTTTCTGAAGAAAATTGCTTGAAGGGAAATTGAACAGAGCCCAGCCATTATCATTCGTTTCGACTTCAGAAGCACGATATTCATTGGAAGAGATTAACCTGGTACCTGAAGCATGGTTTTTTCTCATTCAGAGAAATTGTATGCAAGGAAACTGCGGCGTACATTCACAGAAAAACTGAAACCGTAGCTTTTAAAAACGAAGGCGTTTCTTAGAATAAATGACTTCATACAAACCCCTACTTTAAAATTAATCGAACCTACATGAACAAGAATCGCAAACTCCATTCGCCGGTTACGAAATTTTGGGAACCAGCTCAAATGCCATGGAATGAAATATGCATCGCGTGGCCTGATATGCTGGTCAACCATGTCGATTCATCCCTAGCAGCAGAACCCTTATTGTCGCGGCGTAACGTCAGGAGATCTCTGTTTACTTGCATATCCTGGACTAGCATTTCGTAAGCCAGAGACCCGAGCAGTGGGATAATGAAATTTCCCGCTCGTATAATGAATGAACCCCTCCGGTTTCCCCGGAGAACATACGAGACCCAATCTCCTCCTCCGCCGCCGACTTACTCATGAACCTGTTATTAATCTGCCGCTGTAACAATGAAGCCCTGGCTTGTGAGGGGGAATGAAATTTCCTTTCTTGCAACGGGGAAAAAAGGTACAGACAGAACAGAAAGCTTCTCACTGCGTATCTCAGGCAGAGATGCTGCAAAAAAAAAAAAGAGCAGCGGGGATAAAACTAGGCACGCTGCGAGGGAACAAAATCTCGATTCGTGGATTAAGGCGGGTAACGGGTGAAATATATATTGCAGAGGTAGAGCTAATGCCATCTGACGCTTGATTAAAGGATCTTCAGATGATGGAAAGCTTTGCATGGGAAACAATGAGATCAGTGTTCCCCAACCCCTGGTCCACAGACCACATCCAGNCGTAACGTCAGGAGATCTCTGTTTACTTGCATATCCTGGACTAGCATTTCGTAAGCCAGAGACCCGAGCAGTGGGATAATGAAATTTCCCGCTCGTATAATGAATGAACCCCTCCGGTTTCCCCGGAGAACATACGAGACCCAATCTCCTCCTCCGCCGCCGACTTACTCATGAACCTGTTATTAATCTGCCGCTGTAACAATGAAGCCCTGGCTTGTGAGGGGGAATGAAATTTCCTTTCTTGCAACGGGGAAAAAAGGTACAGACAGAACAGAAAGCTTCTCACTGCGTATCTCAGGCAGAGATGCTGCAAAAAAAAAAAAGAGCAGCGGGGATAAAACTAGGCACGCTGCGAGGGAACAAAATCTCGATTCGTGGATTAAGGCGGGTAACGGGTGAAATATATATTGCAGAGGTAGAGCTAATGCCATCTGACGCTTGATTAAAGGATCTTCAGATGATGGAAAGCTTTGCATGGGAAACAATGAGATCAGTGTTCCCCAACCCCTGGTCCACAGACCACATCCAGGTTCCAGAAGTTTTTTTCCCGGTCTGCGGGAAGGTTCTTCAGCATAATGAATGTATCAAAAGCAGCAATGAATTCTGTGATCATATGAGACATTTTGGAAAGACAATTGCAGCTGAAATTATCTGATGAAAAAGGCTTTTTTCCTAATAAAATGTCTGACAAATTTTGATCATCTGAAATAAATTATCTTAATTTTTCATTCTGAGAAACCTATCTTCAAGCCCGTCTTCCTAATTTTTGATGACATTCTGCATTAGCTACTTCATTAATTTTTAACTTGAATTTTGCAAAAAAGCAGATACTTCTGAATACCTGCCATGAAGTATTTCAACAAACTTTTTCGAGTTTGCAAAAATGTTATGAAACTTGGCTGGTCAGCAGAAAATGTTTTGGAAATTTCCTGGTCTGCGAACCCACAAAGGTTGAGTAACACTGCCCTATAAGACATTCAAAAATATTTTCAGCGTAGTAGTCCACTTCCTCTTTCTTCACTACAGCTGTCTTCTGCGATAAGAGCACTAAGTTTGTAGCCTCTCTCGGTCCGTTCCTTCTGATTCTCGGGTTGACTACTTTGCTTACGCTGCTTGGGCGGCTGGGATGGGACACCGTGGGGCTCGGACCGACGGCCAGACCCCGGACTCGGTTGCGTCAAAAATCCAAGCCTGGTGGCGAGGACACGTCGTCAGAAAGAAGGTCCGACGCCAACGCAGAGAGGAGATGATTTTCCTCGGAATGGTAAGCTGGGAATTCCGTGAAGGGGCTCAGTCCTCAATCTGGAGAGCGACCAGTGCTCGGGGGGATTTACATCTCATTTATCCAACTGTCAACACCGTTTACAGTTAAGAACAGATTGACAGTTTTGAGAGCCAAGTGTTGAGCTGATAAGCCGCACAAAGAAAAGCCGTTCAGGGTTTGGATGTGCCCCAAGAAATCATATTATTTGGAGGCTGGAGGATCTATTCCGGGTGGTGCGACAAAAAAAAATCCGCAAGTTAAAATTAAATCTACATTTTTCAAGGTTTGAATTAGTGCTGTTGAAGTAAACCATTTTCAAAAAATAAAACAGTCCTTGCATCAAGACTTCATAGAAAGATGTCCTCAATCACAAAATGAGTCATTCTTGATCAGTTTGGATTTTATTGGATTCCTACACTTTGATCTGTCTCGCTGCCGTCTTTGTTCACGTCCTCAACTCAGATACTTCTGACCTTCACCCCAAAATTTTAAAAATGTCAGAGCCAATTAAAATTCAAAATGAACGAAAAGGAAGTATTTCTAATTGAGAAAATCTTGGAAAGCCCTAAAAGTGTATGCAAATTATGAAGGGAAAATTCAACGCATATGCTCCTCCTTACACCGAGAAGTGATGCTTCTTTCACCTGGTACGATGATAAATAAGTATTCAAAAACGTTGAAAAATTCATCGCACATTGGGAATAGAATACTATGTCCTATAAAAATGGTAAGCATGGGTAAACAAGAGTATCCAATCTTAAATTACACTCCTAAAAAAATAAATGCAAATCGTCAGCGTATCACCACAAAGTTTACCTTTTTTTGTATACCGTGTGTGATGAAAAAAATTCAAATTCTTATAATAAACCAGCAGCCACAAACATGATGAAGAATAAAATTAATGAGTATGGTGTTATTTTAATCGGACATTTTTGTGACCACTGTGAGCAGTACATACCATATATTGGATTGGAATTTCTCCGTTCAGAGGCAATAACGAGGACGCATTCAGGGATATTTCATATAGAGTATTCGCATATTTTATTTTAATCGGACATTTTTGTGACCACTGTGAGCAGTACATACCATATATTGGATTGGAATTTCTCCGTTCAGAGGCAATAACGAGGACGCATTCAGGGATATTTCATATAGAGTATTCGCATATTTTTAAGGAGGAAAATGCCGGGAAAACTATCCAAAGATCAATCTGTTGTCATGAATCTAAGCAATTTCTGCCGAGACCTCTTATAATTGTCGCCATGATTCATTTTACGAGAATTGTTCTTACACAGTGCAGTATAGCCATACTTCAATCATTTTCGCACTCGCTGAATGCGGAATTTCCTGTGCTGTTCGCGAGATAAGCCGAATCGAAGCCACATATAATACAGCGGTATGACTTGCATCGATAAAACGTAAACCGGAAGTGCGTTTTGTCAACTTAAGCAAAGGTGACAGCTACTGTGCGCACCGGTTCACAAGCTCTTTTGGTAATATCGGGAAGCCATTTCGCCCTGTGCAGCAGCACATTTAGGTTAATTTGAAGGCGGGGCGTCGAGGCACCGGAAGAACCCGGCGACGAAGGCAGCAACTTCGAGGACGGGAAGAGGATCACGGCACCCGGGTCACAGCAGGCAAATAAGCTCGTCGACCCTGGCAAGAGTTCCGGAACCGACCCCAGCAAGAGCAGAGCGTCCCAAGAGTCTGAAGCTCGTTGGAGGCAGATCAAAGAGGAACGGTATCGTTTGCAACTTCAGCACGAGTCCAACTACAGAGTCGCTCTGGTCGAGCTCATGTCGGAGCTGAGGGAAACTGAAGGTCCCCTGATGTCCGAGGCGTTCCAGAAGGAAATCAAGGAATGGTTTCTTGAAATGAAGTAAGATGAACGCATCTTTCCACAACAACCAAAATTCTACACATAAAATACTCGACTTCAAGTATTTTTGAGAGTTATGAAATCAAATCTGCGTCGAAGGGGAACAGTGAGAATGTGTCGAATATGGGGATAATCCTGGCATCACACAAAAGTTTGCCGCCTCGAGGAGAATCTTTTTTCTCTCTCACTTCTCAGACTTGGGTCTCGTGACTGTCAACGGGGAAATCGCAGGAAATTTGCATTCTCACGACAGCGATTCTTGTCCGAAAACACGAGAAACATAAGGGAAAAAATGGTTTACCTTTTCAGAAGAAAAACAATTCTCTTTCCTCTGCTGGATTATATTAGCAGCGGAGGGCTCCCACTGGAAATTGCCCTCAAAAGGGGCCTACAATTTAGCACTTATTGGAGTTGAGATTATGCTAAATTCTTTCTTAATTTTTGCAGTGTGCCTGCCACGTTCGACACCAATTTTATGAGGAAGTTTTCATAACTGTCCGATATATTCATATTTTGTTGATGCAGTAGAGTACTTCTCGGTACTACGCTTGAATTTCAAAATTAAAAGGAATCCTCAAAAATTCTCCATGTCTCAAAAATGCAGCATTCGAAACATCGGAATTAGCGTGCTCATGACCTTGCTCGTAAGCTCGTTTCTGTGCCCCTCAGAATATCATTGCATTGTGAGAAGAACGTGCTGTTTTATTTCTGCAAACTTTATTTTCTATTGATTTCTTTCTCGGTAACCACAGCGCCGCAATCAAACTTTTCGAAACAGAAATGACACCTATTTCAAAGCTGTTCTGTTATACTCCGGCATGAAATAGGAATACGGTACTTGAACATGCTTTATTAGCTACTGTAATTTTAATTTTATATCACCGCGTCTGAATGCATTGGTTACTGATCATAAATCACAGAAAAGGTGGTGCATAGTGAATTTTAGAATCAAAACGTGACTACAGACCTCATGCTGCATCGCCCATCCGTTTGTCAACTCGAAAGAAAAATTCAGTGCTAAAATAAATCTTGATTTTCATACCCTAACCTCAGTCCTATAGAGGTGCTCGAAAAAATCAATCGAAAGCAGTACTTCGTAAGTCCTCAGTGTCTCACGAGAAAATACATTATCGGAGACTCTTACCAAGCCTGAAACAGACATTGGACCCATGGATATTCCTCTGCCCCTTTTCAGGACGCTTAATGCTTTCTTGAGAGGCAATTTGTATGAGATACGCATATGCTCAGAGGAACTTAACGGTACTTTCACGATACTCCTACACAGCGCCCACGCCACGTCCATTACGACAGGAAACTGGACTCGCAAAAGTTTACAGTACCGTCTCAACTAGAGCAGGTACCAGGAAATATTCTCGAGGAAAATAATTTCTCATTGAAACGAATGGGCTACAGGATCACACCGCAAAGAAAAATGGAGTGTATGCCATTTTACTGGACTGAAAAAATAGTGAAGGTACACTTTCGGGATAAATGCGATAAAGAAAGCACTGGATAATTCAAGCTTCGCTCGAAATATGGTATACAGATAGCCCATCACGGGTTATTGTCAAAAAATACGAATACCATGGTTTTGGTTTATGTCATGTTATAATTTAAATAGCGTCCCTCTTGTGAAAAAAATTTACACTTTGATGACATCTAAAAATTTTTTATTCACACTCCGCACTTCCGAAGAATAATACGGACTGTAATTGAGATACTGTCCAAGAATTTGCTAATTTCACGCAAAAAACAAATAAAAATACGGAAAAATGAGCATTTTCACTTTCAAATCTGAAATTTAGAGGAACATTAAATTTCTTCATACGAGGAGACATTTTTGAACGAGTTTAAAGTTTTACTGTGATTATATCTTTTGTATCCACTACTCTTTCCAAAATGCTGATCACTTTTTTTTTGCGCTGAATCAGGATAATTGCTTCAAGTCCCAGAGATCCCATATTTCCTGATGGGCTACCTATATAATCATCAAAAACGTAAAATAAAAATTGACGATTAAAAAAAGAGGTCAGGTTAAGCTCGAATATCTTCATGAGCTCTGGACGCAGACGAAAGGTTGTTCACATTGAAATTATGTTGATTGATTTTTGCCTTTCAGGTTTTGTACAGTACAAAAAAACTCCAATTTAATGTTATTTATGAACCACGACACGGTTTTAGGGGTACTGTATAAAGTTTTGTGCAGCTATGTTCACGAATAAGGCAAAACGTTTTCACGAGAGTTTCTCGCTCGCCTGCCATTGACGGCGAAGCATGCATCTCCGCACAAAATATTCAAATTATCCTCAGACTTATGAATATTATAGAATGAATCGTGGTACAGTTTGTACGCAAAAAAAAAACGCAAAAATATTGAGCATCGTGCGGATAAACGCGCATGAAAAATGAAAACGTGGGTTTCAATCACGACAGAGAAAAGGAAGGCCGGCTGCCGGACTTGCCGACGGAAGAGGAAGGCGGATCAATATCGGGTAGTGCCCAATAACAGTTTTTTATGCTTATGGTACCAAAACCAAATACAGTACAATATTAAATTTATCGCAGGGAGAACACTTTTTTTAAATGTGAAACTACTGTAGATTTTTAAAAAATGCCACATTCCACACTTCCGAAGAATACGGACTGTAATTAAGATACTGTCCAAGAATTATGCAACTTTCACGCGAAAAGCAAATAAAAATACGGAAAAATGAGAATTTTCACTTTCAAATCTGAAATTTAAAGGAACTTAAATTTCTTCATACGAGAAAGCATTTTTAAACGAGTTTAAAGTTTTACTGCGATTATATCTTTTGTATCCACTACTCTTTCCAAAATGCTGATCACTTTTTTTTCCGCTGAATCAGGATAATTGCTTCAATTCCCAGAGATCCCATATTTCCTGATGGGCTACCTATAACCATCAAAAACGTCAAATAAAAATTGACGATTAAAAAAAAAGAGGTCAGGTTAAGCTCGAATATCTTCATGAGCTCTGGACGCAGACGAAAGGTTGTTCACATTGAAATTATGTTGATTGATTTTTGCCTTTCAGGCCTTGTACAGTACAAAAAAAACTCCAATTTAATGTTATTTATGAACCACGACACGATTTTAGGGGTACTGTATGAAGTTTTGTGCAGCTATGTTCACGAATAAGGCAAAACGTTTTCACGAGAGTTTCTCGCTCGCCTGCCATTGATGGCGAAGCATGCATCTCCGCACAAAATATTCAAATTATCCTCAGACTTATGAATATTATAGAATGAGTCGTGGTACAATTTGCACGCTAAAGAAAAACGCAAAAATATTGAGCATCGTGCGGATAAACGCGCATGAAAAATGAAAACGTGGGTTTCAATCACGACAGAGAAAAGGAAGGCCGGCTGCCGGACTTGCCGACGGAAGAGGAAGGCGGATCAGCCGCAATTTTCAATCCCGCCATTCTTCCTCCAAAGCCCGTGGAAACCGAAAAGGAAAGCAAGAAAAAGGCGAAAGCAGTTTCGAAACCATCAGATCCGGCAAAAGGCAGCTCAACGGGGAAGACGAAGGGCAAACCAAACGCGGCTCAGGCCAGACGTGACAAAGGTAGGGACCAAGAAGAGGCCCCGGTTGAGCAGAAAATGGAGGAGTCGAAATTTCTGGAAAAACTGCGAGAGCACTGCTTCGAATACCAATGTAAGTCCATCGTCGTGAGTATGCTTTGTATGGGAAACAGTGAAAGGGAACTGCCAGGCCGATCTCCGATGTCAACTGATGATGCTAAAAATTAATTTGCCTACACATCGCTTTCAACGGTACTGTCGAGAAATCGTCCATAAAGTACTGCAATATGTACTAAATCCGTACAGTAATGGAATCTTGAAACCTGCCAATAAAGACACTTGCATCTCGCCTACGTGATTTGGCTCACGATTTTCATCAATTGCAGCCCTGATGCCTTTGACAACTTATTGCCCATCATTAAATTTTCCAGCCTTGGGTTATCGACATAAATTAAAAATGCGTCAAGATCAGAACACTACGGTATTTTTTCATGGATCATGCCTTCTGGGTAAAAATAAATGACAATGATCATTTTTTTCGATGCTGAATCTCGAGTTTTTGTTAACATTTTCCGAATGCGAATTCATGAAGCTATCTGGAAAAACAAGACTCAATTAGTTGGCGTGGGGTTGAACTTTTGATTTTCGGTCTTCTCTCCATTTAAATGCTTGCACATCACCAAAATTGATAAGGATATTAGCATATTATAAACTGTAAAAATTACACACGAAATCCAAGAAAAAGCCTAGAACCACAGAAGCGTATGGATGACAAAACTTCATGAAACAATTCACGTACTGATGTACTGACTGTACTAAGCTTTGCTCACTCGGAAGAGCCAAAAATTCCAGCTGAAGCCAAAAAAAAACCTACAGCTGTGAAATCGGAGAAGAAGTTAGAAAATGTTGCCTTTGGTTTTAGGAAAACGGCGCGTAGAGTTAACGCCATGCTTTGTCGAGACCTCTTCAACTTTCCGCACGAATTCCCCAGATTTCCGATAAATCCATCGCAGAAGCAGCAAACTTTCAATCGCGAGTCATGTAGAAAAAGTTCAAGAGATAGGCTTTGTTGCTCATAGGCATATGGGCAAAACGAGACGAGTCTTGGAATCACGATCAACAGCACGAAGACGTTTTAATCAAAGCAGAAAAGCGCATTGACCTTGAACGGGAAGTTCGGATTCAGGTCGACGAAAAAATGCGAGAAGAGCTGGAAAAACTCCGCACAGTGAGTAAAAAACTATACGATTTTCTAACTTTTCAAAAAGAAAAAAAAAATTCACAGCAAAGAATACCTGGCGAACCCCTCACATTTAATACGCATCGTAAAATATGTTATTAATGCAATCATACGCCATCCCGATTTTTTTTTTACAAAAATTTACAACGCTTTAGAATTGAATGGGACCAAACCCCGATATATACGGTATTCAAGGATAGGCCACAGTGACAATGAAGTATGGCCGATACTGCAGATAAATAGGATGGAAGCAGGTCAAGCCAAGGAAAAAATAGAGATGAAAAGAAAGACGCTACCACATGGAAAGTACCCAGGAGATTTTATCTCCTGTGATTTATAACCTAATGGCCGATGGAATTGTTTACCGAGCTTATGTAATATTTCGTGCCGCTTGTGTTTCTGCAACAATCCCACCGACGTGTGTCCATTAAACGCATTTCTCACTCCAAAGTTTCCCGCTTTCACAATCCACAGATTCTAAAAATCTTGAATGCAAGCAAAATCAGCGGAAGTACCAGGGTTTTACAGTTGAAAATTTTGATAAAATCCGATCCCCGAGTAAGACGAACTCCCCATTTTTAGTGACTGTAAAGCCACAATTCTTCAAATAAAAGAACACCCGAATTTAAATTTAGACATGAATTGAACCACAGATTTAAAAAACTTGAATGCAAGCAAAATCAGTGGAAGTACCAGGGTTTTACAGTTGAAAAATTTTATAAAAGCACTCCCCATTTTTAGTGACTGTAAAAGTGTAAAGACACAATTCTTCAAATAAAAGAACACCCGAATTTTAATTTAGACATGAATTGAACCTGAATTTGACTGACTTTCAATTATTTCCATTGAAATACGATTTTTTGCAGAACTTGACTCGAAATTTCCGATTTGAATCAAGTACTGTATAATGCACACCTAAACTTCAAAATATTTTTGGGAAATTTATACTGTACCCGAAAATGGCGCGCACCCCACTTTCTTCCTCCCGAATTTGAGAGAAAAAAATACAAAGCGCAAGGTACTCAAGTAAACACCGGTGTTCTTTCATCAGACCATGGAGAAGGACTTACTGAAGAAAAAGAAAAAGAAGGAGAGGAAGAAACGGCGGAAGAAAGATCGGAAGAAGAAGAAAATGAAAGACCTCACCCCGGATCGAACAGTGGCCTCATTGTTCGAAGAGCTTGTCGCCAACGGCATCATAAAAATGTGTCCGGAGACGGAACTGAGTTCGTTCATCGGACATTTCGATGTCGCCTCAAAAGCAACAAGTGCTAGTGACTCGGGCTACACGCCAGCTTCACTGGCCGACATCAGACGCACCATTGCCGAAAGTTGCATCATTCCCTTTGGTGAGTACCCATTATATTTTTCTAATCCTCCATATGTCTCAAACTGAGTATTAATTGTAATACTGTACTGTACTGTACTTTACTCGGGACTTCGGGAGTCACCCGACTTTTGACAAGATGACACCAGAATAAAACGGCAGCATGTCAAAAACACCAAAGATTAAAATAACTTTCGTGCAGAACAGTTCACGGGGTTACTAGTCAGAGATAAATCTCCTTGAATTTAGGCAAGTCACCTTCGTTCTTTCTCTTGAAATAAGATTGTGAACAAAACCAATGATGGGAGGATTTTTCAAATTGTCCTTCTTGCTTTCACGCCGCGTTTTTCTTTCTTCAAAAATGTAAAAATGTTTGAATACGAGGATATGTACTACAGAATATTTTTCATTGGGGAAAAAGGAGAAAATTCCTGTTGGGCTTGGTTTAAGGAATCTGTTGAGTGTTTCAGAGGTGTGAAGCATTTGATCAAAAAATCTTTCGGACAGAAAAGTGCTGGAAAAATATAAGTGCGAGGAATCAGAGAAAGAGGAATTGTATTCAGCATATACAATAAATTCTCACTGCAAGTATATGAAACATGCGTCTGCTCAACCATCAGATTTGGAGGAAGTGATCAAAATCTTTTCGTTTGAGACCTATTATATGAATTAATTACGATACCACATATCTTTCGTGGCATTCGAAATACTGTAGCACCGGAGCTTTTTAAATAGCAGTAATTATCATTCGTTTTGGATAAAAAAATATGATGTCCCTGCATGACCTTTGCACGTCATTTCGAGCTTGCAAAATTTTAAATTTGCGACCAAAATGCGCTCCCCGTCTGTGGATAAGCGTCGTTTTCAACGAGCTCAAATGTTCCGCGACAATGAATGTATTTCAAGATTTACGATCTTCCGTTATCACGTAGGGAAATAAAAATGTGAATATCTACAGGTTCACAAGAAGTTCATGAAAAAGCACCGATAATTCGTTCAGTGCTGATTGCTGGACCAACTGGTAGCGGGAAAAAGTTACTCGTAAATGCAATTGCCACTGAATCAGGAGCAACGCTGTTCGACCTCACTGCAAAGAACATAGCAGGGAAATACCCTGGAAAGTCTGGACTCGTCATGCTCATGCATCTCTTGAACAAGGTAAGACTGGCTCTTTCATTCGAAGCATGTTCTCGAATCATTTCTGCAACAAATACAGCAAATTACTGCTAAATTTCTCAAGCTAATGTTCAGGTACAGAACTTCCGTGCTTATAATCAACAGCATCACTTTCATTCAAGACTTCTACGCAGCAATTTTACGTAACGATGAAGATGAAAGATTCGACCGATGAGTGTATACTTCGCCCGGAGGATGCTAATTGACACGACAGTATATATTAAAAATCTAAAATTGAATCCTCTGCACGATGAGACGGAGAAATCACAATGGAATTATGCAGACCGACTTGTAATAAGTTCTAACTAATCTAAGCATAGACGCGGTTGATCGAAGCCTGGATAATTCGGTATCAATTTCCTGGTACTGCAAGTACTGGCAGTTACATCACGAATTAAATGTTAAATTGCCATATATCTGAAAGGTTTCGCGCCTCCTCGCTCCGTCGATCATATGGATCGACGAAGCGGACAAGACATTCATCAAAAAAGTTGCAAAAGGAGACAAAACAGAACCGAGGAGGCTGAAAAAGGAATTGCCAAAATTTGTAAAAGGCATTGGGTTGGAGGATCGCGTTATGCTACTCGGCACAACTTCTACACCATGGAATTTTGACCCAAAGGTAAGGAGACGTTCAAGAGAATCTTCGAGCTGTTACATTGTGATTAGCAAATGTATTCATCTAGCATTTACAGTAAATTACTGCATAAAAACACCGCTGTTTCAAGAAAGGTACGGAGAAAGAAAGATTAAGTTTCTCATTACGGTAAAATTATCGGCTTAATACCGCCAGAATGAAGAATGAAGATGTAGCTCGGCCAGGCTGGCTTAAACTGTAGATTTCTTCAATGAACCCAGCATTTTAGAAATTTTTTGAAACTATCACTGTATCATAAACATAAGCTGCGCATCGCAATGAAAAAAATAATGATAAAATACAAACGCTTTCAATTATTTGAGTGAAGATCGAAGAATGATCCCACTCCTGGGAGTTTAAAATGTAATCGCTTTCACAAGAAACTTCATGACATTGTGGTTAGCCCTTGATTCCCTTCAGTCCCACTTAAGTAGAGTTCCAAACAGTTTACAGTACTGTTCTCAAACTCAAAACTTTTAGAACACCCTTTTTACGTCCTCGTGGACTTCAATTAAGGACTTCCTTTTCGACAAATGCAACTGTAAAAAAATACGGATCTACTCACGGAGTCACAATTGCATTTCTTTGATCTTCTCCCCGCGAAAAAGACGTTCCACCAGCACATTTAGTTCATCTTCACGAGACGCCCTCGCACTTCTACAGGAATAAGATTCATTGCACACGCCAATCTAAAAGTATCTGTAGTATTGTACTATCTTAGAACATATTTCAAAATAATGACAAGACAAGCACTCTGTCCGAATGAGAACGAATGATAGAAAAGAAAAGCCCACATTAAACATATATAGTACTTGATTCATTGACGAATCTATTCATTTATTTCGGAAATAATCTCTCCTCAACTTTTACATCGTTTCAAACGAAAACAGAGGAAAAAAACTTTTACAAATCATATGCAGGAAGGCTGTGATTCATACTTAACTTGGCGAATAATATGGCATGAAAAATCCAAAAGCTTCCATAAAGAACATTCACATACAAATAATCCCTGCATATAAAATGTGTTTTTCAATAGTATATTCGCAGTATTCTACTTTCGATGCAATGCATATACAGTATAACTTGCGAGGATAGTTAGGCTGTATCAGATTTCTACCAGAAGGTCTAGTGATGAAGAGGTGATTCTGTCAAATACTCCAAGTTTTCTAGGTCAGTCAAGGGGTGGAAAAACCCGGGTGTCTGACCACTTAAAGGTATTTTCTAAAACGTCTGACCCCTTAATGGATTTTAAAAGGTGTCTTACCGTTTCAAGATGTTATTTGTGAAACATCTGAGTTTTTTTATGTTACTTAAAAGACTTCATGACAGGTATTTAAACATTTTTTGCTTGTCTACAAAAATTAAGTTAAGAACCAATGAAGCAGCTGTCTTAGAATGTCTTCAAAAAATCAAAAATGTGGGCTTGAAGAAAGTTTTCACAAATGAAAAATTAAAAAAAATGCAAGAGTTATCAGGAGAAAAGTTTGTTTTTATTTTGCAACAGCTAATTTAAACTGTTTGTATATTGTCTTTTCGAAGTTTCAGATCAATATGATACTTCAATGCTACATTTGATATGCTGAAGAAAGTTTCCCTTGGACTGGTGCTGGTCTGCGAACAATGGGTTGGGGAACACTGTTTTAGGTTATATTTTAATCGATCCTCTCCGAAGGGCTTTTCTCAGTTGCTTGTCAACTGGATCTTTTTCTCTGACATACAAGCAACATCTTTGCTCCAGTTTATCCATAAAATCAGGTAATTTAAACTGACACAGTGATCGTACACCATCAGCTTAGGCCGGGTTTCGTCTGAGGATATTCGGAAAGCCTGACGTAATACAGACCAAACCAGAGACCGCACTTCTGAGGAAAACATTCTGGAATTTCACTGCTTCCAGCAGAGAACAATGGGAAAGCAAGGATCGAGTTCCGCGACCCTCATAAACGCAAATCCCGCAAGGATATAACAATTATTAAAAATAGCTGAGACTTGACTCGCGTTCTATACAGGGCATGGCACAAACGTACCAGAAGGTCATTCTGGTCCCAAAACCGGAGTACATGACTCGCTTCACTCTATGGCAAAAGTGGATCTGCGAAGCCGTAGGAACTCCGACGCCGATCATCCCTTGCACGGAACTGGCGCGAATAAGCGAAGGTTACACGCCGGGCGCCATCAGGAGAGTCATCACAGAGGTTACACACATCCGCTTCACGGTTGTCCCACCCTCCCTCTCTCTCTCTCTCTCCCTTTTTCTCCACGTGTACATCTTCCCTTTCTCCATCACTCCACTGTCTGTACATCCAGTATGTTATTGACTCATTGTTTCCATCCAGTATCTACTCGTTTTGTCGTCATCGTTACGTGCTTCGCGTCACCAGCCTCAAGGATGATCTGTTTCGCCCACGCAGGTCTTGACCCGGAAACGCGTTCGCCAACTGGACAAGAAGGCTTTGAAACCGGTTGAATTCGTGCCGGCTCTCGCTCGCATTGAGCCACTTTACATGTGAGTTGTTGTGATATTTAAATTCAAAGAATTATGATAACTGAAGCCCTCGCGTCATGATGCGTGAAATATGTCCCTAGCCATATATTCTGAAATGTTAGCTGGAACTGAGGAAACGTGAGTGCGGCAAAGCAACAATTTCATGATGCTGTATTATGCATGATTAATTAGCCCAAACTGCATATGACTGCTTGGAGTGGCATGATGAAGCACAATATTCTTTAGTCCAAGGTCTGCAAACTGGCAACAGTCTGCAGAAGATGTTTTCTTTTCAGTCTGCCAGAAATTTTCTTCAGAATAATAAATTTATCATACTTAGCAATGAAGTTTGTCACCTAGGCTCATCTGAAATTTTGGAAAGACAATGACAGTTTTATTAAAATGAGGAAGAATAAATGTTGGCTTTTCTCCTAATAACATTCAGACAAATTTTCACCTGCTGAAATATAATATTTCAAGTTTTCATTCTGAGAAACCCCTTCAATTCCAAGTCCTAATTTTTGAAGACATTCCAGTATAGCTGCATCCTTGGTTCTTGACTTGATTTTTGCAAAAAAGCAGAAAATTATCAAATACCTGCCATAAAATTCATTTCAGCAAGACTTTTTTGAGTCTGCAAAAATTGTATGCAATTTTACCTGTATGCATGACAATTTTTGGAAATTGACCAGTCGGCAAAAAGTATATAGAAATTTGCTGGTCTGCAGGTTCAAAAAGGTTGTGGAACACTGATGTGGCACATAAATCAACTAGAAAGATGAAAATATTCAAAATGAAATGTGCAAAGTTTGTTGCTTGCATAGTCGATATACATTAGTAACTTTGGTCATGAATAATGTTAGATTCAGTTCATAAAAGAACAGGACATTCCTTCAATGTTCAGCATCGAAGAACTTCAATAGAACATCATTAATTAATGCAATTGTTTGCGCATACAGTACTTCTTCGATTTTTACACCGCGATGCAGGCAGTTAATTATTGTAGACAGTTATTCATCGGAAGGCGTTTATGGAAATTCGGTTCGTTTTTTACATATTTTGTCGTCAAAATTTGTGGCATGTAATGTCCATTGTACTATTATAGGCCTTTGATATGACGAGGCGGGATATTGTTCATGTATAATTTTTTCCAAGTTTCAAGAGTTCACAATGCGATTTGACATTGAGACAGAGGGAAATGGTTGGAGTTCAATGATTAATTCTTAAAATTTATTTTTATTGAGCTGGTAAACGATACCAGAGATTTTGAAAATTAGGTCTGTTCATTAAAACACAACGTTGGAAAATATCCGTTCCCATGAGATAATAAGTTTTCAGAGCTACCTTGCTTCAAAAATCATTCCAAAATGAAACCAAAAACACTGACCCTCATACCTCATCATCCGCATCCCTTCAGAAAATCTCTGATCTACAGGATCTAAAAATTGTATCCCTAAAATCATCCAATTTCAATATTATTTTCCTGAGGTAAATAATAAACCGTGATTAACTCCTGAAGTTATTTTCACTTCAAGGTCACCCTTCCCTGACTCCGTATTATCTTCATATTTTCATCAGTTACATTTTGTCGAATTTTTTTCTAACGAGTGCATGAAGGTTGAATAAAATCTTCAGTTAAACCTAATATTCATTCAAGAGTGCAGTTACGTAATTGACCATTTCAAGTGATATAATACTGTATAATGAATGAAGGAATTTTGCGGTTGATTTCCTGCAGTGAGGAAGAAGAGGCCTTCCAGCAATGGTACCTCACAAAAACCCCGATGGGCAAGAAGTTTTGCAAGAAGCAAGATGGCAGCAGCAAGGACGACACTGCATCTGGTCCGACAGATAAGAAAAAATCCAAATCCAAGAAGGGCAAAAAGGGGAAGAAGAAGAAGAGGAAGAAGTAATATTTTACCCTTTTAGCCACTGAATAAACCATCCATTCGTTAGCCCAAATACGCCAAATGCGAGAGCGGGATAAAAGGCACTATCCCGAATGAGGAATCAACGCTTGAGCAACGTTGCAGAACTTGCAATCGCTAATGTGCCGGGATACTGCGGAATAATCAACGTTATAGAGATTAAGCCGAAATTGCACGAAGAAGAAAAAAAAAAGGGAACAGAAAAATAAGATGCTGAGTAAAAATGGTCAAGTCATGTATAACGTGGCAACACCACCATATCGTTTTCAGGATACATCGCTGATGATGATGGAGGCTGGTCGAATTGGTCCTCGATTTTAGTTCGTCTGTAGCGTTTGAAGTTCCCATTGCACAAAGGACCTACGCAGTTGCATCGGAAAAGGTTTTCGGGATCTTCCGGGGATTCCCCGTCGTTTGGCACAGTGAAACACCCAAAGCCCTTGCTACATCCTTTCCTCACTACGTCCCCTGCAAAGTTTAATATAATCATTTTGTCTATGTTTGAGGACGGTCTATGTAAATGATGACTTCCAATAAAAATGCCGCTTCCATGTGATTTGCTTTAAATATTTTGACTTATCGAACGCTGGAAAGTCCACCGCTATCGACGGAAAACCATAGATCCTTCTTGCACAGGTTGACAATTTTAAAAGAAAATGTTGATACAATTTCAGTTTTTTTTTACAGGATTTTACCTCAGCTTCCTGCAATATTGCACCGAAAATACTGTACTAGAGCAAACTTTTAATTGCGCGATGCGCACCTTAATCTTCTGACAAAGAACGACTTTTAGCAATGATGATGTATATTATGCGCTGTAAAATATAAAATGTCATGCATTGATTTCCTGCATATACAATACTTTCATAGCGTTTTCTTATCGTATTAAGGCAGCTGTTCTGATTGACCTCTTTTCGAAATTTACTAACGTCGCTCAATTTCCAACTTTTGACCCAAAATCTGTAATAAAATATTTTTCTCGCTTTCTATCTTGGGGATTCCTAAGGATTCTTTAGTTTCACAATCAGTTCGGCAAGTTTCACGATCAGTGAAGAGGCACGAAGGTGAGAACATAAATGCAATGGTTAGTTTTCTTCTCACAAATGTCACGGATGCTTGAATATATACAATATGTGTCCTCTGATGAAAGGAAAACTACAGAAACGATACATTTTTCATTTTAAAAGTTCATCTTGTCCCGCTAGTTGCGCACTGAACGTAGATCCAATATATATATCTGTCACTATTCCGATCGTCAGCGCGAAGCATTTAGTCATTTGATTTGCTGCTTTAATTTTTTGAAGTGCAGGAATATTCAAATCAATACGGGATTCAATCTCAATTCAAAACGGGTCATTAGGTTCATGAGACTCACTTTTGCTTTGGCTGCTGTAGTAAGTAGAGCACGAATCGTACATCGGCGCGTGGCAAAAAATGACACCGAGATTCGCTCCGCACTCATACTCATCGTCGCACGAGAAGCACGGGAACGAGGTCGTTTTCCCTGCAATATATTCCATGCACATTTCTCTTTTTGATTCATTTGTCCAAGCTTGCTATTTTTTTCTCTACGAATTTTCTGCGAACAACAGCAGTCGAACGCGTGGCAAGGCTTTTGATGGACTTACCCGTGGTCGACGTCACGACTGCGAGCAGCAGGATAATCGTTGCCAGCATAAATGACACCGGCGGTTTTCCGTCCATTATCTTTTCACTTACTCTGTGCTCTATGAGAGAATTTATCTGTTGAAAAAATGCCACCAATAAGGAACAATGATATTCAACTTGTGAAGGTTGGTTATGTAATTTTGAAGAGGCAGCTCGAACTTTACCTGCGAGCCAATAAATGGCCGGAGGAAACGCGGAGACCAAAAGTAAGACCTTGTACTGAGTCCCCATGCGAAATTTTCGGAATAAAAAGCAAGTATTCTCGAGGGTTGATCCGTGGATCATGCTGAATATTATGATTGCGTATGAAACTTTGCAAAGCATGCCCATTTAGCGAATGTTAACGAGGTCTTACGTGCTTCAGTATTCATGTGTCACATCAGGTGATTAATTATATGAATTTCCTCAATCTCATCTAGATTCTGCGCTGATTCGGGTTAAGTTATAAAAATTTACGGTAATGTGAAGATGCCATTCCACGTCAATAGCTGAGAAATATCCAGCGTTCGATCACAATGTTTTTCTTTGATTTATTTGCTCTGATAGTATAGAAATTTTTAATTGCCAATACAAAACGTCAGTAAATCATCCTTTCCTGAAACTTGCATAAGAGCAGTTGCCAAAAAAGCATCGGAAATAAATTCACGGAAAGCTTTATGCATGTATTCATGGGTTTTAAATCTAAATAATTTCAGAATATGACAGCGCGAAGCAGAAATCCGTAGTAGTAACCGAAGTTTCTCCTTTTTATTTTTCTTGGAAGACTGATATTGATATTCCTGGGCAGTGCGAAAAAACACTATTTTAGCGAACACCATTTACCATAATCTTGGGTTATTACCTAGGCTAAGTGCTGTTCAACCTAACGATGGACGAACGACATTCCGGGTCCAGCCTCCATCATGTGTTAAAATACGACCCCCAAAGTCAAGCTAAACTAACTTATAAATAAATATAAGCAAATGCGCAAAACGAATCAACCCGAACGTGGATCTTATCAGAGGGGCAGTAATTGCATTAGAGCATCTGCTTGGCCTTTTTCGGCCGATACGGGAAAGAAATATAAGCTGGAATGAGCGGAGCTTAATGAGATTAAGAAAACGAAACCAGACGAGACCCTGAATTCGCCCCCGCGTGTCACCAGGGGTCGATCGCGGCTGCAGCAGCGCTGTGTTTGGACAGGTCCACGCCCTTCTCCGGGATGTTCGCCCTGGGAAACCAGTTGCAGAAGCTCGCCATGCAATGACACTTGACATACGCATTAGGAAAGAAGGCCATTTCCCCCTTAGTGGGCAATTTGCACCCGTACTCGTAGCTGCAGTCCTTGGCCAGAACTATGGCTGAAATATGGCGATATTTGACGAATAACCTTTAAATCTCTCTTAGATCACACAAGGTTAAAAGAAATGGTAGAAATAGTAATAAATAATAAAGGTCTCATGGTGTTTTCAGGTGAATAATTGAGAAAAATAGTCTGAAATTGAATTTCCGACATTCCTGCAACTTTCGAAGGCACCATAGCTCAAGAATCAGTCCACCAGAAAAAAAATTACGCGGCTTCAGTACAAATTTAAAATGTTAAAATTTTGCATACACGAAGCTTTATTTTCTCGAAATATGCATTATGTAAATATAATCATGATTGAGTGGATAATTTGAGTTTTACTGATTAGCAAGTCCTCGGAAATCTGGGACAGTGAACGAATGTTACTCTACCCGGATTATCAGACATCACGCATATGATGAAAAAATTAGTAATGCGTGAACATTTTAAAAATGGCTTACTAATGAAAGAATTTTATTAGTAAGCCATTTATGCTGTATTACTGTATTACTGCATTACCAAAATTCAAGCTAATATTGATGAGAAAAATTTCCTCCAAATTTTCTATGAATAACGTGGAAAAAGTTTGATGCGCAATTGTTTCTCTATTTTATTTTTTTGCGTGTACAGTATTTTAGCTCTAAGATTACACAATCTTTTTGTGCTGATTTTCATTTCACGTGAACTGCAAGGTGTTCCTTTCCTTCAGAATAAGGAAAATAGATTGAAACAAAGTAAAACCCTTAAAATACTACGCTTTTATTGTTCAATCGCAATGATGTTCGAAAACACTAACGTATACAGTATTGGATTGAGAATTTTATTTAAAAGCCGGATAATCGAGGGCTTTACTGTCCCATAAATTATTCATCTCGCATACAAATTTTCCGAAATTTTTAAATTGGTTTTTGACAAAATGACCGGGCGAAAGAATTCCTGTGTAATAAGAGGCATTCATTCCTCAAAATTAGAAGAAATTCTCACTTTTGGCATCGTCAGCGAATAGGGTACCGCAGGTTCTGTAAGGAGCGTCGCAGGCTTTCAACTTCGGATCATTTTTGCATCGATCTTCTCCTCGGCAGAAATAACAATACAGAGGATCCTCGTGGTTTCGTCTAGCGAACAGAGGCATTTTTTCTAATTCTTCTGCAATCGTAAAAAAAGTAGAGAACTTTTAAAAATTTGCCACGTAGTACAAAACTTAGTTTCAGCTTCGAAGACATGTCCCTCATGCCTAACATGCTGCGCTAATCAAATCAAATTTTACCGACGAATGAATGATGGAGATACTTTTTGGTATGCTTTTCCTCAAGCAGTTTAAATATTGAACAAATAAAAAACTTCCAGAAATTTTGATATCGAACGGGGTTAAAATATCAAGAGCAGATCAACTCGCAGTTTTGCTGTCTCAGTCGTCAACTAAAACTCTCTACTCAGCCCCCATGGTAGAAAATATGTCCTCAAAACGTAATAAATTGCTTTAATAACCTCGTGCTTCAAGCGATGCATCTTCGCTAATCATTCCGTGGAAGTTCGGCATTCTCGCCCGAGCTTCAACCTCATGCACGACGCAAACGAAGAGCGTAGCGCTGAGTATTATCACGCGAAGTGCTTTTTCCGTCGTCAAATGAGCCATGCCGGCGATTAATTTAGCCGTAAAACTAATGGTTTCGAAGATTAAACTACGCTGATCCAAAAATTAAAGGCTCCGACAGGTCCTAAACTCATTTGTTCTCGCCGCTTTTACGAACTTGCTCGTATGCAGCTGTTGACCAGAATTAGCTTTACTTCGTGCGACATCTGGGCGTAANAAATAAAAAACTTCCAGAAATTTTGATATAGAACGGGGTTAAAATATCAAGAGCAGATCAACTCGCAGTTTTGCTGTCTCAGTCGTCAACTAAAACTCTCTACTCAGCCCCCATGGTAGAAAATATGTCCTCAAAACGTAATAAATTGCTTTAATAACCTCGTGCTTCAAGCGATGCATCTTCGCTAATCATTCCGTGGAAGTTCGGCATTCTCGCCCGAGCTTCAACCTCATCCACGACGCAAACGAAGAGCGTAGCGCTGAGTATTATCACGCAAAGTGCTTTTTCCGTCGTCAAATGAGCCATGCCGGCGATTAATTTAGCCGTAAAACTAATGGTTTCGAAGATTAAACTACGCTGATCCAAAAATTAAAGGCTCCGACAGGTCCTGAACTCATTTGTTCTCGCCGCTTTTACGAACTTGCTCGTATGCAGCTGTAGACCAGAATTAGCTTTACTTCGTGCGACATCTGGGCGTAAAAACGAACGTTTAGCTTGAGCCTTCAGAGGTTTTTTCCTAGATCTCAGTTTTTAATCAGCTACCCGTCATTTCGCGGATTAAGGAAAATTCTGCCACAGCTTCAATTTTGATCGAAAGAAAGTACTATTCTTCCGGAGAATAAATATTTAAAGAAAAAAATTTTCGTCGAAATGTAAAATGGTAACCTTTTTTCAGATTTTAAAATGGTGTATTCATCGAAATATATACTCCCATCGTTTTCGGAAAAGTTCAGAATGTGTGGCACAATATTTGAACACATTAATGCTCTCTGTGTACAGCTAATATTAGGGCTAACAAATAATCCTGAATATATCATCAAAATTTCCTTAAAATCTAAGTTTTTTTCATTCCACTACTTCATTGGACTGGAACAAGCGCGGTCGTGTTCGTGGATAACACGTGAGCATTCATGTTTTTTTTATGAAGTGAACAACGATAGTGATACAATAACAGCTTCACGCGATAAAAAAGAGGCTATGAAAAAAAATCAACCGAGCAAATAAATCAGAAAAGTTATGGGGGTTCAAGGAATCCTTCGTAAAGCAAGTGTTCGACACAGTGCTCTTAGATCCTTTATTTGTTTAACTTCCGAATCGGTTCACAAATTATTCCAGTCGAAGGACATTGACCCAATGAGGCCAGCTGGTGATGATATCATAAAGTGCATCCCCAGGACAATCCGTGTCAACTGCTTGACGATGGCCAATCAAGTTATAGTCGCCAGAAATCATGCCCAATTCAACTCCACAGCTGATCAACTCCTGAACTGCGTTCTGCTGGACTTGCGTCGGTTCCACACCTGCATATTTTTTTCCAAAGAATTATGCACAGATTAGCCATATTTCCGCGTTTTTAGAATACTCTGTACTGTACTCAACTGAAAAAGTTTCCGATGAAACAGAATCCGAGACCGATGGAATTATATCCGGGTGTGTGTGCCCCAACTTTATCCCAGCCTCGGCCCTCGAAAACGGAACCTTCTCCCCCGATGACAAAGCTGCAAACCAGTCACACACCGAGTCAGGGATTTGCATAAATTTCAAACATTCCCGAAATTTGCATCATAATTAATAAGGGATTCACGTGACTGCTCGGAGACAGTGAGGATACGCCGCAACTCAATTTTTTTGTAGTCTTTTCAGGTGTTTAAAATTGTTCAGGTTTAAAAAAGGATACATTTTGGCCAGAAAAATGGGACTCACACAGCAGATGNTCGAAAACGGAACCTTCTCCCCCGATGACAAAGCTGCAAACCAGTCACACACCGAGTCAGGGATTTGCATAAATTTCAAACATTCCCGAAATTTGCATCATAATTAATAAGGGATTCACGTGACTGCACGGAGACAATGAAGATACGCCGCAACTCAATTTTTGTAGTCGTTTCAGATGTTTAAAATTGTACAGGTTTAAAAAAGGATATATTTTGGCCAGAAAAATGGGACTCACACAGCACATGAAATTAGTAAATGCAAAACATTCTTTCGAAAATTTCCCGAGAGATTCTAATGTTCAAAAAGATTTTATTGCTCCTGTAAAAGTTCAGTCCGGATGCTGACGACTGAAAAACAATTATTTATTGCTTTTTGAATGACAAAAAAATTAAAGTACTGACTCAAGTTAGCCCCATATCTGAGAAAATGTTTTACAAGTCAAAGTGGCGTATACAGCAAATGCTTTTTTTTTAGCACCACGAAAAATGCGGCCTAATGAAGATCTTGGGAATACGGTACTGTTTAAGAAATGTATGCCGCAACTTCGAATGCCTTTTCACCTATAACCGATGTCGTTCCAACCATTCTCGTCCATATGGAAGTTCTGAAACTGTCGAACCATTTCCGCGCATGAATCGAAGGTTGAACAAGCTGCAGATTCGGCATGAAACTTCGAATGCCTTTTCACCTATAACCGATGTCGTTCCAACCATTCTCGTCCATATGGAAGTTCTGAAACTGTCGAACCATTTCCGCGCATGAATCGAAGGTTGAACAAGCTGCAGATTCGGCATGATGTATGACAGTCCAATCCACTGGATTATTCAAGTAGCTAACACCATTTGGTGGTCTTGGTAGGGTGAGCAGAGCTCACATTTAAGACCCTGTTCGAACTAATATGTGTTATCGGTCTTATTTTACAGTTTGGTTCTTCGTTTCCGGAACGAATGGTGGTTTCCGAAGTAGCTTCATCGTAACGGTCAGACACAAAGCAAGAATTATCAACCTCATATTTTCCTCAAGCCTACACAAGCGACGAAATATTCATGCAAAAATCACTGGGAATGCTGGAAATGCGAAGTTTTGAACGTCAACGCATGCACTTCAGCAAAAGGTATTCATTATATTTTAAAGAGGTAATTACCGGAATACAGCATGTTCTGAAACTCTTCACTCGAAGTTCGATTAATGATAGTCGGGAAAGTAATTAGAATGGCAAGTAATTTTATCTTTTCGAATTGAAGCAAGATAAGAATATGTAATAAGGGAAGAAAGGGCAAGTGAATGTCACTCTTCCGCTGATAAAAAAAATTGCAAATGCATCAAACGATGCTTTTGTTTTTAAATAACCTGAAAAATGTGCATTATTACGAAAAATTTTCACACGCAACTCTGAAGTTATATACATGACGGATATTTAAAAAACAAAATTTTGAGGTAAATGCTTTACAGTGCAGCGTCGTGAAGGGAAATTTCCTCCAAAATTCTAATAATTGTTAAACAGCAATACCATATGTCTTAAAAACGTCTCATAGATTTTTCCGACACTGATGCTTGATGCAATTTTATGCTTACATTACTTCAGTTCCATTCCTGCTTTGTAAAAGATTATACTGTATCTCTTTTTTTCTGGAGACATGATGTTCAATCAAAATCACAGCCCCGTGGTTTTTTGCAAAGGTAATGCAGATCGCTAGAATTTCAGCCCAGAAGTGAAGAAGACAAACAGAAATACCTAAAAAATTCCTTTTCATTTTAAAATCATCGCATTCCGGATCAAAATGGAATCAAAATTTGGAAGACTCGCTGTAAAGTGGGGAAAGCAACGTGCGCACGTCATTAAATGTTGACCCAATGAGGCCAACCCTTGATGATGTCGTAAAGTCTTTGTCCAGGGCATTCGGTTGCAACTGCTTGTCGGTGCCCAATTAGGTTGTAATTGGAAGCAATCATTCCTAAATCTACTCCACACGCGATCAGGTCCTGAGCAGCGTTCAATTGCGCGTCTGGTGGAGTGTTGGCTAAAAATAAAAAATAAAAAAAGTAAAAAAAGTAAAGCATAAAATTCACGCATGTGCTCTTTCATGCTTTCGAAATCCGCAGACTTGAGAGGTGCTCGATGCCTTTCTTCGTGGACTGGATACTTTTTACTAAATATATGCCAACGTATACGGTTTCATATATGTACACAGTTTTCACAGGGAGTATTGAGGTATTCAACAAATACAGTTCGAATTTTTGGACCTCAGGATGATCAGATGAAGCCAAGGGAAATTTCAATCAATTCTGCACAGACAAAATAAGCATCTTTGGTTTTGCCAGCACCACGAAACTAAACGAGGAAGAGCCAGTTAGCCGAAAAACTCTATCTTTTTTTTCTTCGTTCGCTCATTACTTCCTGAGTCATGCATGACTGATTTCATTGTGATGACTTTCTTATGCAGAAACAATCGACACACATTTTCGTAGTGATCCCCAAAACAACAAAGAAAACTAGAATGAGTGAGAGATACAATTTTGATGGAAAGTGGGGTACACTTATTTCCCGACAGCGCCCAAAACCGGACAAGATTCGCAATCACAGCCGCAATCATGAAATAAATCGTTTCCACGGACGAAATGCACAGAAATGCATTTTTATTTCGAAGATTATCGTTACCTTTTATAAGAAGGAACTATCAAAAGTAGACCAGAGGAGATTACTCACAAACGTAATTGCCAATGAAGCAAAATCCGAGTCCATTCGAGTTGTAGCCCGGAGTGTGAGCTCCGACTTTGTCCCAACCTCTGCCCTCAAAAATAGATCCGTCTCCACCGATCACGAAACTGGCCAACATAAAACGCATTTTTCGAATAATAAAAAAATATTTATAGCCAGAATCATAGATTTAGAGTTTTTTTCGAAAGTGTGCCCCTTTGAAGATGAATCAGTGATGGTACCTCCATGTCTTCTATCACACGTGTAGGTAAAGTGGGAAATAATTGCCCTCAGCAAATTGAGTTCAAGAGATATTTACAGTATTGCTGTCTATTTTACTTCCAAATGCCACTTATTTTTCGAAGAAAATCACTTTAATATCCCTACCCATGAAGCAATACAATCCTTTAATTTTTTCATTGAAATTTTCTCGCAATATCTGGCAAATGACCTTGTTGATGAAGTGCAGAACCTGTGGCATTTGCACCACAACGTTCTCGTAAAAATTGTCAGAAAATGGGGTACATGACGACTAACCTGTACCCAATGTCATTCCATCCGTTGACGTCAATGTGCTGGTTCTGGAAATCCCTGACGAGTTTTGCACAGGTGTCGAAGGAAGAGCAAGACGCAGATGCCGCGTGATGTATGATCGTCCATGGCACAGGGTTCGACAAATAAGACACCCCATTTGGAGGCCTGGCACCCCATTCGGCTCTGCTATAAATTCTCGGACACGCTGGAGAAACCATTCATTCATTACTCGGCCTATTCACGCATACAACAATTGAACCTCAAGAATTGGAACCTACCTAAGTCAAATACCTCCGAAGTAGAATTTTTCAAAGTCCCCATCTGAATTTTTTTCTAGAAACAAAGTATTAAAAACCTCCCTAACGCAAAGTATTTTCCTCTCCAACATCCGTAAGTCAAATTTTCGGAGGGTTTTTGGCTTTTATTTTGTTGACACGAGAGATAAAAGCAATAAACAAGTGACTTGATAATGTGTCTTGAAGGGAAGTGAAAGACTAATTGAGAAACTAAACCCCTGCCTTCAACTTCAGCATGCTTGCTGTAAACTAATCTAAGAAGCAAGTTAAGGACCAGAATATCCCTCTGCAATTCTTTCACCTTTTCCTGCAATAAAATTCTTGTTTTCCCCACTCAAACCTTCCCTAATCAAAACCTCCTTAAGACAAAACATCCCTAAGTCTGATTTTTTTGCTGAAAATCCCTTGAAATCTTACTTACAGAGGTTTAACTAGTATACGTTCATGAACAAATAGACTTTCAATATTAATATTGATCAAATCCCTTGAATCAGCTGAAACAAGAGACTTCAGTATTCAGGAAGAACCGACTCACCACCAAACGACAACTCGAAGGCACATGAAATGATAATGCCGCAAAGAAAAATATGCTTCATTTTCCAGTTTTTTTTTTACACAAAAATGGGGGAATGAAAACAAAGTCAAACTAGTGCTCGGAACACAAAGCACAACCATTTATATCGCATTGTGGTACTTCCCTGCTGATTAATAATCGAAAATGACGACCGAACAATCGCTCATCGAACAGTTCGGCATTTGGTAAACGCCGTAATGCAGTAATTGCGTCAACGGCAGTTAATTGATAAGATAGCTGCGTCTAATTCCGTTTTAGGCTATAATCTTAATAGCCAGCTATGTAAGGCACCGCCACGCACACGCGAACATTGCATTCCTAAAAACGATTTTATTCAAATAATTTATTCTTTCCTTCCCGCATTGCTGATGGGAAATTCCATGGAATTTCCCATTGGTAATTCACCCCTTTCATCCACCATTTTTCTAACTTAATTTTTGTAGCAGTCTTCGTTCGTAAATCATCGCGATCGGTTGTCCGCTGTATTGTGTGAAATCTCGTGTATGTCATTCCACATTTTGAATTCTTTGTTCTTGAATATTTGCGTAAGTTTTCATTTGATCTGATTGACTCTCAAATTCATTTGAACTTATATTTCGAATAAAAGCATACAGTTGTCTCGCGGGGCTTTTACCAAAAAGCCCCCTGCCGTGTTCCCGGCGGTTTGTGTGTTTTCTTTAAATTAATTCTTTTGGATTCCAGCAACGAATTTTTGTTCTTTGTGGCCTGTACGCCACAGCCTAACCGAAGTAGAACACCACTGTAAACTCCTCGTTTCCCCCAAAAATGAACAAATGCACAGTAAGATTGGGAAGCCTGAAAAAGAAATCGTCTGTGATCCCCGACGTCTCGCAAACATTAATAAAAAATTTTGCAGGAAATACAAATCCAATTCGCAACTCATCGCATCCAAAACCGGGCCACTCCTACGAGTGTACAAGTATGCATGTATTTACATGTATGTGACGTGAAGAAGAGCGACATCATCCTGCAGAGGAGTAATCGAGTTCGGAATACTTCACAAAGATGACACTACTCAAATTCATACCATCCTGACAATAATGCACGGTATACAGTAATGAAGTGTAGAGTACTTTGTGCTACCAATGAATGTGAGACAGTTTCTGCCTTGCGTTTAATTTCTTTCACGCAAATTTGAAAATTTTGTTACTAACTAGGTCTTCCCGAGGCATTTCGCGCCAATTTTGGTTCAGAGAATTCTCAAATCATATTTAGATCATAGGTTATTGATGGAAATTTTTTTATAATTCCCAGATACAATTTATACTCGTATATTGAGTGAAGTTGCTGCAGACAAATAAAACTTATACGATCTTGAAAAGTGCTCGTTTAAATGCAATTATCTAATGATCTTCCACTGCAGGAAAAAACAAACACGCTCGGTCGCATCTCTAGCAAAAAATTACAGCCACTTGTTTGCTTCAGAAAATCAGAAGTGAAGTACAACACTGTGTAGAAAGTGTTACTGATGCTTTTTTGCCTTTACAGCAGATTCATAATTTTGAAGCTCAGTTTTCACAAACCTTTGACAAATTAACCCTTGTACATCAAAGTAGGGATATTTTTGTAAAATGTTGTGCCACTGAGCACTGGAGATTCAAAAAATCCTACCTTATTACTAACTAAGGCATAATTTTTCCAATTCTGCAGAAAATGTTTAATGAAATACTGTACTGTATAAAAATCCCTCACTCCATGGCGTTTTTTCCTGCATTCTTGGCATAGGATTTGCAGGGGATATTCCTGGAATTGGTATAAAATTTGCCTCTACGATTTTTCCTGACTTAGACCTTCTCAACCTGGGAGCATTTCAGTGGCCTTTGGTCAAACTGAAATGCACTGCACCCACAAAGAAAACCCTGACTCCGCTGTGTAATGCAAAGGAACCCTCTGCCACCCAAGTGTTAAAAATCATCTTTCGAAGCAATAAATACAGTATTCTCCACTGTGGCAGAAATTCAATTGCAGTCATTCAGTCAACCCCCACACAAAGGAAGTAATTGGTGCAACAGGGTAGTATTTTTTGTGAAAAGTCAGTTATGCAAATTCAGTTGGGAAGCAATGGAGGATGTGAGGGACACTGGTGGCATGCACGTCTACAGACTGAAGTCTTTTATGCAGATTCGTCTGCTATGCAAGAAGAAAAACTACCTCAAGAGGCAGTTCGTGTTCTGCAAAAATCTGTTGTGCAGGAGGTCTGTCGCATGTGCATTGACTGTACACATTTTCTCAATTTCTTGAGGGAAGCCAAAAATATTTTCTTCTCATACAATGTCAAAACTTGCATGCAACTGCTCAATTTTTTAAAAAGAAATCCTTGTATTTATATACATAATTGAAATTCAATTTATGTGACTATGGCGCTGGGCAGTCAAGATTATGCAGTTCTTGCAAAGAAAAATACGATAAAACTTTTGCACGTGAATTCAGGACTTTATTTCTTGAAGTTTTTGAGGCGTGTGGATGCAGAAATTGGTGTCGGATTATCAGCGAACAGGTTATCATCTGCTAAATATTCATATTCAAACTTTCGTCCAACGCGGCCATTTTGTGATGATGTTGTAAAGCGCTTGTCCCGGGCACTCGGTTGCTTTAGCTTGCCTGTGTCCAATCAGCTTGTATTGTGCAGAAATCATCTTCTTCTCCACACCACAGGCGATTAAAGATTTAACAGCCTCGAGTTGCACTGTGGCTGGGGCTTTGGCTGTGAGATATCAACAATAATACTGAACTTTATATATAAATAAATAAACAAATAAATGAATGCTCACAAGTGAAATCTCCAATCAGGCAAAATCCGAGTCCGTTACTGTTGTAGTTGGGAGTGTGCGAACCAACTCTGCTCCAACCTCTTCCCTCGTACACGGATCCATCTCCACCGATCAAGAAACTTTTCAAAACGATAACACCCATGATCAAGGGTAGTACAGTAGTTATAAAATGCAAGATTTAAGCAAGAAGGTAACTAACAGCGATGTGACCACATCAGACCTAAATACTGTACGACTCATTTCACGAGAAAATAATGTGACCATAACAGGGAGGATTGTCTATATTCGCTCAAAGTTCGAAAGATATATGCATTCTACTAGTTGAAAGAAATAGACACACGCAATACGATTTCATAAGCACAACATGTGTCTATAGGTGTATATATGAGGTTGCATTCGACTAAAATATTTAAAAAATCGATGCGTCGAAAACTATGCGAAGTATCTGAAATCTGTCTCTTCTCTAGTGATCAAAATTAAATGTACAGTATTCGCAATTTATGCAACTGAAATCTCCACTCGTTCATAAAATATATACGCGGCAGGAAATAAATATCGGGAATGTGAAGAAAGTACAAGTAATTCTAAAATGTGCGCTTTCACGTCCGCTGTTTAAAATTATCATCAGTTCTTGTGAATTCACCAGAATTAAACCAACGGAACACACCCATTTCATTTGACTAACCTGTAGCCAATGTCGTCCCAAAGGTTCGTATCCATGTGTTGGGCCTGAAAATCCTTGACAAATTTTGCGCAAGTAGCAAACGATGAACAGCCCACAGAGGCTGAGTGGTGGATGATGGTCCACGACACAGGGTTACTCAAGTACGACACCGATTTGGGAGCCCTGGCCTTCCATTCTGCTCTCGTATAAATTCTTGGACAAGCTTTGAAATCACAATAAGCATAAAGGGCTAATTCTCATAGATATCATCTTTGCAGTTTGGCCATTTAACATCAAAGATTTTAGAAATGTCTCACCTCCGAACACCAAATCCAGCAGATTGATGGCAAGAAGACCAAAGAATACAAGTAATTTCATCGCCAAGCTTCCCAAAGTTTAATTCAGGCCGATAAGCAAAAGATAAGTTCTGGATCTAAAAAGGGCTTTTCAGTTTATTTCAAGGGCAATTCTTTATTCAAATGGTGCCAGGCATTCCATAGAAGACTGTTTAAATACATCAGCCAAGTACAGTACCAGAATGACGCACCGCAGACTAAAGTATGGCATTACCGCTTGCCAAAACAAATATTTTAGACCCGCTTTCGCAATGGTACTTTTTTCTGCAACTTAGTATTTAAATAAAAGGCGTGGAGAATTTTCGGAGGACTGTTCACAACATTTTCCAAGTTATTCCGCAAAACTTAACTGTTCTAAAGAAACCACGTATTGCTGCAGCTGGAATCGCATCGTAATAAATACTGCTTGTGTACTTTTATGAACACTTGTCACAGCGTGAAACGCTTTATACCGCTAAGTCAACATATTTTCCATGTTTAAAAATGTGTCGGCAGCAGTCCTTATTGGGATATTTTTTATGACGTTCCTGTTCGTAATTATAATTCTTCTTGGAAATTAGTTTGTCACAGCGTAAGACAATTATATTTCTTCGTCTTCGTATTTGGAACCGTCTTGATGAAACGTTTTGGAAAATGGAGGCATTGTTGTAGGGCTTAGGCCCACAAAGAATGAGTATTGAAGCAATAAGTAAATGAGAACAAACAATCCGCCCTGGGATTCTCAGTAGAATCCCAAAAGACAAGAATAATTGTATTTCACATGAATTGCAAAGAGTTCCAAATTTACACAAGCAAAATGACATCAAATAGCAACTGTTTGGGATGGAAGTTAGATTGAGACTGTGTGACTTGTTAGGAAAAAGGCTTTCAGGAAGAAAAGTATTGCACAATGTAAAACCTGGTGGGGAATAAAGAGTGTGTAGCTGATTATCACACTGATCACTGGGAATTCCCGGTGATCATGTGATGAGATCACGCGCTCCTGCGCAACAACTTCCTTCGTTGGAATTATTTCCTACAATTGTGTTCAGAATTGTAAATGCTCAAACATTGACCCAGTGAGGCCAGCCCTTGATGATATCATAAAGCTTTTGTCCTGGACACGCGGTTGAAACTGCTTGCCTGTGACCAATCAGCTTGTAATTAGATTTTATCTTCCCCTTTTCCACCCCACAAGCAATCAATTCCTTAGCCGCCTTCAGTTGTGCACTCGTTGGGGTTTTGGCTGAAATGATTTCACGAACAACGGATCATTTATGATGAGCATTAACGGTAAATTTAAATACTCGGATGCGAAAACTCACAAACGAAGTTGCCGATTAAACAAATTCCGAGTCCGTCGAAGTTGTAGCCCGGAGTGTGGGCTCCAACTTTATCCCAACCTCTGCCCTTGAAAATCGACCCATCTCCACCGATCACGAAACTGAAACAAAAATTTTTAAATTTTTAAACTATGAGAGAAATATTTTTCAACAGTTTTGCTTTAGCTTTAGAATTTAAAGGTTTTTTTTTTAAACTGAAACACCCCGCTTGTGCATAAAACCAGGCCTGAAAAAGAAAAATAACCCCGCTGAAAGAACTTTCTTGATTGTTTAAAAAAATAATGATATTTCATCGCCCAAGCAGTCAACCTTTGTTGAATCTTCCAAAACTGATGAACAAAAAGATATTCGAGAATTCTCGGAATATAGAGCTCTAATAATACATCGATGCAAGACTAGTTTTTCTCCACATGCCGGCAATTTTTTCAAAGACAAAAAATACAAGTCACTGTGCAAATGTAAGAAAATTCTTGGAAGAAATTTTGAGAGCCATCCTTCGAAGTGACTATGGTGTTTTCACGAAGCTGACGTTCTCCTTTTCTCATTTTTCCTGCAGCCACATCTAGAATTTCCCTCCATAATTTGAGGAACTCTTTTTTCTTTCAAATATCCATGATGCCAACGCCAGGATCGAGTGTTCAAATAAAGCGAACCATTTGTTGCAAAGGGGTGGAATTTAGGTTGATGACCGACCTGTAGCCGATGTCATTCCATCCATTCACGTCCATGTGCTGATTTTGGAAGGACCTGACGAGTAAACGTGTCCTTAGTTTTCTTCTCGTTCTGCGTCTTCGACGCACTACATACTGACAGGTGCCGTGTCCCAAGCAATTTATTCTTTGGGGAGGACCTCCAAACCGAGGGGTAAGTCGGGATGACATATCTTTTGGACACGCTGTAAAAAAAACATTTTTTATTCATTGCCACGGTACCTCATTTTATTATTTGACTACGGGATTATCTTCTTAACTTTTTTTAAAAACGAAACCTTGGCGAATTCAAAATCCAGCTGAAACTACCAAATCTCAAATGTCTTATACGAGGCGACTCACCACCGAATGTCGATTTGAAAGTCCACGAGATAAGAATTCCAAACACAATAAAATGTTTCATTTTTTTCTTTCTCTCCTGCCGTGAAAATGGGAAATTAACCAAAAAATTTTCTTTGGTGTGCGGATTACAATAACTTATATACAGCGATTTTGACCATCTAAAATTTTTGTCCTAAAGTATCATTCATAATAGCGATTGGTGCGTCTTAATTCTATGATTGCGTCAAGTGCACTTATTTGATAAGATAACCTTGTATGTACAGGTTCGACCAGACAAAATCGGTTGATATTTATGCAGTTTAAGTATTTGAATGGGCGAAGCTATTTCCTTGAGAATACTGTTCAAAATTTTAAAAGTAATTACATTTTTATCTCGAATAAAGTAAATCATATGGTTATAAAGTTACATTGCTGCAACTACCACAGAAAGAAAAAAAATAATGGAAGAAGAAATTCGAGAAAAGAAAATTTTTCATGGGCATTTGTGCTCTGCCAAACGGGTTAAAGTGGTTCCAAGGCAAGAGTTTTCTTAATTTTGCGTTGCTTTAAATCATTCAAGAATGATCCCCCAATGAACACTGTGAGTCAAGTCCATAGTTTTGGCTTGTAAGGTAACCTGTTATTTCCATTATTTAACATAACATTCTTTGCCAGGCGGGCAAAGATAAATAAGAGGAAGATTGTGGCGATGCCAGAATGACGCTTTTCTATCCAGATTTTGCGTGTCCTTCGATGAAGAAACGGGAACGCTTTTCTCACTGAATTCTATTCGAATTCTTGATGAATATCCGAATCGAGAACCGAAGAAAAAACAGCTCATTTGGCGTTTTCTGCTCTTTCCGGAGAGACCGCCGCGAACTTTCCCCCCACAGGCAATTTTCAAGCGTTCACGTTGGTGAGAAAAAAATGTAACTTTGAATAAAAGGATATCATTCAATAATAGATGATTCATCAAAAAAGGAAAATATAATGTAGCTTTAAATTTCTTCATTCGTTTATTTGTCGTTCGCTTGAACCATTCATTGAAGATATAATAAGTTCAAAGCGTCTTCTGCTCATTTTTCTCGACCATGTAATTCCGCTTTATTGGACAATTTCATGAACTGAGGAAAGAATGTTTCCAACAGACATAAACAAATTAACGTGACAATGCGAAATTTTCGGAGGGCGGGGAAAAGGCCACTTTCACCTCGATGTCTCGAATAACCCTGCTGATAAAACAATTCCCCATGGCTACAACTACAGCATTTTTCTTGGATGATGTGCAAAATTTAATTCCATTAGAAAGGTAAAATTTTGCACTGACAGCGCTGTCTGTCAATGCCACTCACTTCTTATGGACATTTCATCTCGACTCCCAAGAATAAAAGCCTTTCGATTTTTGAAAAATAATTAAAAGTGGACTCGGTCTATGACGATATTCTCTGCATAACGTGTGTTCTTTATGTCTCATATGGTTCTTTTTCCAATATTATAAAACCTTTCTACAACAAATTTTATTTACAACTATTTTTTGTCCCTTGAATTTTGTTTTAGAGAGAGTCCTCCGGTACTACGTTTAGGTATTTTTTGCGATTCATCCAAAATCAATGCTTGTGTGTTCGGGAATTTATTTTTAAAATTAATTTTTGGGTCCAGCTCCCGACAATAGATGCAGGTTTTATAGTTGCTGATTGCTTTCAAAAATGTTCCAATTGGAGAGACTTCAATGCAATAAGAGTCAAATAGTGAGTAATCTATACTTATAGAGCCTGTGATTAAAAATAGCGAGCTTTTGCTGGTCTTGTTCATACCTGACTTGGAGAAAACGACCAACTTGAAAAAAAGCAATTGGTGATATTTTCTGGGGGTTTATTTTTAACCGTCCTAACGGAAAGACGATCGTGTTCTGTCGTGTAGTCATTCATAAATTATCCGTGAAGAATGAGCCCCCAGAAATCGAGATCATGTACTAACTAACTGATGTACTTCCTGTCTTCGAAATAAAACGATCGACCTCAACGGGCTTTCGTTGGTCGTAAATTCCTTCCGCCGCCGCTATTCGGCACGCCAATAATTTACTTATTCATTGGCATTGCTTATTCCAATACCCTCACGCGCCTGTGTAGAATGTGACCCACCATGACCTCGACGGAATTCTCGCGCCTTCGCAAGAGGAACTTTGCGCCAAGATCGGTCACAGGTGATTAAAAGGCTTTCACAACTTCCGTCGCCAAGGTATTCCCTGTTTGGACCCACGATAATCGCAGTCAACGCGTTCGAACCGGAAAGAAACGTTCTTCAGAAATAAGGGTTTGTTAGTTTCCCAGTTGAAGAATTCCGTGATTTGCAACTTTAAAAAATACAAAATAGATACATATTCGCATATAATTTACCCGAACGCAAAAGTTTTTTATTTTTGAAGTTCAGCCTTGAGATGAACCATTTCTGACTGGGATCTTCCGAAAATCTGTCATGAACACGAAGAGAAATCTGAAGATTGTTCTCCGAATTTTTCTTTTCACTTCAGTGAGAAAAGAACATGAGGTTCACTGGCTTATATGAGACAAGTACTGCATTGAAACTTAAGAAACCTTTCCAAAAGCCATCAAGAACAACATTCCACTCTTCATGTGATGACGTTCAAAAAATATCACGAGGTTTTAGAAAGTGAGTTTTTCAATAGGGAACAGTTGTTCTGCTCAGAAGCCGTTCGTTAATAAAATAGGAAGACAACACACAGATGCCAAGACTGATGAAGAGCGAGCATTCTTCTTCAGTTTTTCCTCTCCCACAACAACAAAAGGTTGAGGGAAATTTATTTTCAAAGAAGAAAATAAAACAACCTGTGATTCCTGAACCACAATCCCACAGAATTACAAGAACAATAGAAACGATATTGTTTTTGCCATGACCAAACTGATCGTGCATT